CAATATTATAACATATGTAAATAAATCCGGCACTGAAATAACACGGATAATGATAATGATAACAAAAACCCTAAAGTTGATGGTGGCAGCAACGGCGATGATAATTAATATTTCGTTTTGTTGTTGTGACAAAGATCAAGAGTCCTCAAATGATAAGAATGGTCGTCTATGGGGTCTCAATTTTTCCAAAAAATACCATTACTAATAGGATAAAATAACTGAAATAATATACTAAGAATAAGTTACTAATAGGTGATTAACCTTATCATTCTCTTCAGGTATTTAACCAACAACTACCTGAAGGAAATTTCAATGGAAATATACACGCTAGAAAAACTGTAAGAGGCAAAATGGAAATCTTTTTCGTTAAGCCCAACCTGAAGCAATGCTTTAAGTGGTTACCTTTAAGACTAGATAGGGCAAATGAAATTCAATAACATTTAGTTCTTTGGTGATTTTGTTAACGAAAGAATAATTTCCCATGTATCACAATTAACTTGTATGATGTGTAGTCTGATTTCTTTTACGTTTCCACGTCTTTTTGCTTTTTGGCTGATGAAATTGCCACTCATTGGTTTCTTTCTTCCATACGTAACTAAAACGTAACCTCACAATTGTTGTTGAACCCATTATATTTACAGGAATCTTTCATTCAATCATTTATCAAACCTGGATGAAAAAAGTTTTCGTGGTACAAGAAACTTTACAAAAGTTATGTAAGTAGCGGACTTATATCATGATCATGATCAATAATGATCAAGTATCCTATTCTATCTTATAAGTATCAAGTATCCTATCCTATCCGAGAAATCATAATTTACAAAAGTAGAGCATCACAGAAAGTCGAGGCAAACAAAAATTTTGACAACGCACGCGTTATTTGTAATAGTCCATTTTAAAGTTGCGTGCTTGGTTGCTAAGCCTCTGAACAGGAGTGAGGCAAAGGTTGACCTTGTTATGGTACAAACCTAGCTGCTTTTCAAATGCGAATCACTTTCTTATCATGCTAACTAAATAATGGCCTCTATCACAACAAGGTCACCTTTAGTCTCACTCCAAACCAAAGGCTAAGCAACTAAGCACACAACTGCAAAATGGCCTATATACACTCGTGTTACAACTTTGCACTCGTGTTAGTATAGGTAGTACCATGATTTCGAGTGCACTGTGGTGTTAATAAGCACAAGTAGATTGCACGAGCCCTAGCACTTGAAAAATGTTCAGGTGCTTATTACACCAAATTGCAAGAGAAATCACGCTGTTACTTGATAACAATTTACATGAAACTAACATCATAGAAAGGCAAGATAGACGAAACTTTGAAACCGTGCGCACCATTTTTAATTTTTACTCGTGTTACAACCTTGTACTCGTGTTACATGAGAATATACTCGTTTTCAACCAATCAGAAGCGTATAATTTTTCCATGTATATTATTATCAAACAAAAGAAGGGTGTTCGTGAGACCGCTGAAAAGTGCTTTCAAACTCAGTAATAAACATGATTTTATTTCATTACAGCTTGAATAGTATAGGCGGCAAGCATGCACATGATTAAGTTTGTTTTGGTGTTGTTCTTTTGCTAGGGACCTAAGAAGGAATCGGATCAGTAGGATAGCGGAGGGCACGTTTATGAAATTCTTCTCTCTGGAGGAACTGTGAGTATTCAATTTGTGCCGAGTGTTTGGAATACAATTGCACGTCATTTTTTATTATCCCTTAGTTTTGAAGTATGCCTGCGTGTTGTAGCTTGCTAGTAGAGTCTTTTGTACGGTATTTCTATGTCTATAAAATACTCTCGCTAGAGTTTCAAAGGTTAAACATTATTGTGGTGGTGATTACTTGTGGTACTTTTTCACACCTTTCTAAAACAATAAACAACTCTTGTGATCGATTTCTGGTCTATTAACCCACGATGGGTATTCGTAGAACACGAGCTACTAGCGGTTGACCTATAAAATGCTCCATCGACTGTATCTCATCCCCTACATTAAATTGGATTATTTTACCAATCAACGGATGGAAATTGAGTGACATTATATTGCTTTTGTAACATTTCCATTGCTTTGCTAACACAATTAAAGATACAATGTTTGACGACCTAAGAAGATACATGAAAAAGTTACTCAGTTCTGATTGGTTAAGATAAGTGTAATTCAATACAGAGAAGGGTTAACTCAGTACAAAGAAGTAACAAACTAGACTGAACAATTTCTTGAACTGTTTAACCAGACTCTGAACTTTTTTGCACCTTAAAGATGTGAAATTATCATTGTTTATTATTGTTTTGATCGTACGTGGCTGTTTTGACCGAACGTACAATGTCACTTCCATGATTTGAATAAATTATTTTTGCACTTGATGCGCGCGCTTTACTTCTGCTTGATTATGATAAGCTATCTCGTATTTTTTCATTATATTATTAATACGTAATCACATGATTTTTCTCGTACAATTTGGAATAAATAAGTCCTTGTAATTTTTTTCAAAGTCTACAAATCGCACTTGCCCTAGGGGCTAGTGCAATTTTGTTAGTCTTTGAAAAAATTTACTCATGCTTATTTATTCCAAATTGTACTCGAAATCATGTGATTACCTACACAAAGCGCGAACAGTTTCTGAGTTATTTTCCAGCATATTGTGAAATAACGTCAGATTTTTTTTACTATAATGTAAACAATGTAAAAAATAAGGGAAACTCAGAGCTTGATAACTAGTAATAATTATGTTTTTTTCATAGTTATCTTTCCATCAATGCGTTAAGCAATCTTCCACCGATTATATTTCAAGACCTGTCGAAGCTGCGAGTTCTGTAAGTACCCTCCGCCCAATATCTTTGATACCAGGTCGCTCTAACGGAGCTAAATACACCTCATTGCAATTGTTATAATATAATAGCCCATTTCTGAGTCTCGTGAGTCATTTGAGAGATCTGGTGCCAAAATTAAGGCGTGAGAACAAGGCTGAATGCAAAGTTGCTCTCGATGGTGAGAAATTATAAAGCCGTTGAATTGAAAAATGGATACTTCGAGGGAGAAAACATTACTGAGAGAGAATTTTTCGAAACTAAACTTGGAAGAGTTTAGAAAATCATTTGCGAGAAGGAGGGATTCAGTTCAGTAATGTCGGTAATATAAAGGAAAACGAAAAGCAGAACAGCTCGATTTATGTGAGAAAGCTACTTTCGGCTCTAGTTCTCTGACACATGCGGATAAGTCGGGAAATGGGCTATTTAACCGACAAAAAATTACCCTTTAAGTAGTAAAGGAAGTAATTTATTCAACTGTTATTGGTAAGGTAACTACTACAAGGAAGCGACTCCTAAACGATTCAATATATTACAAACTTAGTTTGGGATCACAACTGACTTGAACTTCAGTTAGCACCTATACAAATTCGCAGTAACCGCTTCCTTAAAAACCTCTACCGAAACTATTGATTGTAGGCAAGCTTCCACGGTCGAATACAATAATTAACTATTATCTACAGAAGTGGAGATAACCAGCGTACACTTAACGTCTGCTCCCAAGGACGCAGAAAGTTCTTCTTTATCGAGAGTCTTTTAGTTGTTTCACTGCTGAACACTTAAGTGAATAGTATCTACCACATAGAAACGAAAAAAATAGTTTATTTCTGGCAATATACCGAAAATTATCAGACATTTACTTCTTGACGCGAGATTCTGTCTCCTTTGCTACTCTGAGTGAAGAGATTAGCACATGCCAATCACCTTCGAAATAGCCAATCAGCGCGTGCGAAAATCATAATTTACCTGCCCGTTTCCTTATATACAATTAAAGGGCATCCTAGAAGATTCCGGTAACTTATATAATAATTATTCTTGTAGCTTTAAAACGGTATTGCTTCGCTTAAAGAATGTTTCAGCGAGTTCAAATATGTTTATGACAATGCCCCAGGGACTCAATCTGCATAGCTCCGCTTTACGTAGAACAATAATGTTATAATGTGGGCATGAGGATGCACTTTCTATTTGTTTGATTACCAGTGTCATGAACTATGCAGAACGCTCCAAGATCACGGGAAAAATCTTATGAATAAGGAAACGCATACGGAAGGTAGCAGAAAAATTAATTGTAGGAAGACCCATCTATGACGAATGGTGTACCAAACAGATAGGACAGTTAGCATGAGCTGAATTAGCGTTATTGTTGTTGCACGTAATGTCGACCATGCTCCAAAGTACAGGTTGATATCATTCGGGATTGGGACCGTCTAATTTCCGAGCGGTTTTATGCGGAGCCTCATTTACATAGTTATAAGAATTCTATGCATTACCAAGGTGTTTCCCACTGCTTGAAAAGGTAATGATTGTTGCGTAGCGAAGGTTTTCTTTTCTTTGAATGATTGTTTGCCATTGCAACATGCAAACGTTTTACAAACTGTAAGAGTAACACTATTCTCTTTTCCCAAAATCTACGGATGTTTGCGCTAACAGAAAATAGTTCTATTTTTTGATGAAAAATACGTAAAAAAGGGTTCTTTTATCACCCTTAATCAATTGATTCATGCATTAACTGGTTTTTCACTGAAGCGAATATATTTACTGACGGATCATTCATTTGCTCATTTTGAAAGAAAGGTGGGAATCTTTAAGTTGCCTCACGTAGATCAATAAGTTACAGAGGAGAAACTTTTCATATTACTTCAACCTATTTTCAAATTAAAAAACCTTTAGAACCAAAGGCAAATTCTTGTTTTGGCTTAAGTATGAGCATTTGACCGGTATAAATAATCCTACAATGCATTTAGTCTTAAATAATGGATTAATGATCTATTAAAGAGCTAAAGCAAAAGACTATATTTCTATGAGTGACTGAATAATTGTTATACGATTTCATGTACTTTAGTGAAAATGTTTAAATATTCCAGCCACCGTAATTATGATCGGATAGCATGACGCTTTTAACTGTGATAAAATGGTCATATGGAAGGTTTTCTTCCCCTTTCCTACAGGGATTAAGTTTGTCATAGCGAACTCCAACAGCAATTAGTTCGTATAGTAGACTGACTTGTTAGAGCTGCTCCCTTGTAGTACTAGTCATACTGATAGGATGCTCAATCGAACAATTTGGTTTTATATGATATTTATAGCCTAATAAATCGTATGTTAATCATTCTGAACAGAAATTAAGTAAACAAGACTTGGAAGACTCAAAAAAGGCAGAAATGTCATATTTCTTGAGCCTGGTTCAGATTACTGTTCAATTAAAAGGTTTTGCATGTAACAAAACATCAAGGAAAAAGCTTTTAAACAAAGAAAATATTTTTTAAAAGATTGTCTCTTCTTTTCAGAGATATCTCCTACAACAAAATCTCCACGCTGTCTAAACCCATCTTCGACAAGTTGCGAAGCTTAGAAACGCTGTAAGTGGACTCTAATGATTGATGTTAATAAATTTATGTTTCGATTTTCATCTCCCAAAATTCTGGATATAACTCAATAAAGACTCCAAAGGTGTAGTATATCATATCACGAAAAACGGTTTTAAACTTAACTATCAGACATTAACCCTTGAAAGGGGAAGGCGTTTGATTGTTTATGTAAATCTTTCAATAACATTGCTTTCCTCTGGAACCTTAGCTTCGAACTGGCAATGATCAGCTGAAACTGAATTGGATTTGTCTCTTGGTGCTAAAGATTTTGATTCTCTCGCTGTGATGTATAGATAGCTAGATGGTTTACCCTCTGCCGTAGTAATTTTTAGAAAATAATATGTTTTTAATCTATCATTAATCTAATTCATTTCATCGTCAGCAAAAAGCACAGAAGTGCTCAAATGTCGAGCCCCCCCAACCCAAAGAGATATCAAGCTCCTCGTTTTTTATACTTTGCTATTAGCATTATTCTTGTTTTAATACACCTTGATGATGACCTAGTGTCGAAAATGTTTGGTTTGTTCTTTATAAATATTTTAACCCTGTAGATAGCTCATTTTTGATCCGCATTTTTAAACGGAACCAATGGACATTGTCATTATCTTTATTTTCATAATTATTACCGTAATTATTAGTATACGTAATAGGACTACGTGCTGTCCTATTTGGAAATAATTGGATGAAAAAAAATTCTGAGGACTGCCAAAATTGGACGGAGCCAAACGCCAAGTCCAATTTGGCTGTCAGAAGAATTTTTTTTAATCTAATTATTTCCAGATTGGACAGCATGTAGTCCTATTACTTATCAATTATATAGCTGGTCACTTTTAATACAGCCTTTTCAGGAAAACTACTATCCCTGGGAAAAAGGCAGACTGAAATATTGAAAATTTTAATTATAACAAGTCTACAGAGCAGACGCTATGCTTTGCGTTGATTGACTTATTTCTATCACGTGTTGTTTTGGCTGGGGTATACTGTCCTATTTTTCTTAAATAGGACAGCGTGTGAATTTGTATCTTTAAGTCCTCAGTGAAACTGTCCAGAATTAATCCTGCTGCGCTAACGATATTGGATTAATTGACCAGCTATATAGTTATTACAACTGATACTATCATTATTATTGTTTGACTTTTAGTACTATTAGAGTAGTAGTTTTAAAACCAAAGAGTAACACTTGAGCGTGCGTTCTGATCATCTGTGTAAGAGCATTACTCCAGAAAAGAACTGATGGTGGTAGTGGTGACTAATATTTCGACATCTTAGTACCAGTGATAGTTCTTTTCAGGAAAAATTGTCACAGACGATTAGACAACTTGATAAAAAGTTATCATTATCATTATCCTTATCACTGTTATTGTCATCATCATTATAACTATCGTTTTCATTATCATCGTTTTACTATTGTCGTACAGTTTTGTTTGATTGTAAGACATGTTTTTGATAAGTGTCAATTATCATTTTTTTTCATAGCGTTCTTTCTCACAACGAAATTGTCGTGATACCTGCCAACGTCTTCAGCAGATTGAATAGTTTGAAAACTCTGTAAGTGTTGATTCATACATGCCAAAAACAGCCTACTCGTTATTTATGATTTCACTATAAAATAATGATTCACTAGTGTTTTAATTCTCTTACAAGCTTCGAAAATTTTTTAAAGGTATCTGGATAACAACAAGATTGAAAAAATCCAACCGAGCGCTTTTTCTGGGCTTAGAAACCTTAAAACCTTGTAAGTATTACACTATAAACCAAATGGATTGCTGGTACTCGAGTCTTGATCGCAGTTATGCCAAACAATGCAATGCATTCACAAAGAAATAGGTTATCAAAAAAGGCGATAAAACATCAGCGTTATGCATGATTTCCAAGGTTATTAGAATGCAATACGTGCCAGTTTGGAAAAAAAATATAACAAATTCCGTTAACGAGGTATTTAACCGAGGTGGTTCTTCTCGCAAAAGGAAACTATAAAGACTTGAGATGAACAAATTTTTTTGCTCTTCGTGACAAAAAAATAAAAAAGGCTCCGATGCAAATCTCTTGTTGACTAAGACTGCATGATTATAAAAACCAGCCTGAGAAGGCTGGGCAGGAGCGAAATTTGCGTTACAAGATTAGCCATCAAAATTGAACTGAGATCAAAAAATTGCATAGAAGGACAACGTTAAGATTAACGTCTTCGTGGGTGATTAATTCTCTAAATTTGATCCCACACGTTTAAACACTTTGCAGTTTTAATCAAAGGAGACCATTCAAAAGATTGTTCCCCAACCTTTTCCCATAAATTATACTCCTAGACATCTACAAAACAATTTTCTCGATCGTATGCCTCCAGAGACGTTCAGCTATCTTAAAAGTCTACGAAACTTGTAAGTACGGAATAAATTTTAGTTGCTTTCTTATTATGCAATTAGAGCAATCAACACCTCTCTTAAATTTTTCAATTTAACTTCGGATTCTTTGCTTATCAACAGCTTTGCGCGAATTGGACAATCAAATTGAATAATTTAAAGCCATAAACACGGTTACTTTGCTTAATCAGTGGCAATCAAGTCATAGGTTTAGACCTGGTTAGTTTTTGACGAAGAATTACATGTACTTTAATGACTCGCGCGACGTTAAAAATCATAGGATTGTTGATGCTCTGGTTATTTTACTAACAAAAAATGTGTGGTATTCCATCTCTTTCAAGGAGAATGGACAGTTTCTCCCTGTGTTGTTATGCTTCTCTTCACCTTGAGAAAGTAAGCTGTGAGTATCCAAAGCTGGAGGGTAACGCCTTGTCGAGTTGCAATCGCATGATCGATGCCTCTGGTCCTCGAAGGAGTATCTGGTTGCTGGGTATCCTGGCTG